AGCCTTGGCATCACTCTAGACCGTCATTTTAAATTTGATAAGCTGATAAACGGCGTCTTAAAATCACGTTTTTAACATTTGCGGCTTTTATCCAAAGTCATACATTCTTTATCTTTTAATATTTTTGAACAGGGCGTACACGCTTTTATTTCGTCACATCTGGACAACTGCAATGCACTTTCCCATCTATAGTTTGTCCAGAATTTTATTTTTTATTTTTAAAGCTTTGAATAGACTGGCCTCACAGTACATCTTGGAGCTCATCCAGATTTACCCCCCCCCCCTTGCACTTTGAGGTCCGAGGTACAGCTCCAGATCGTGGGGCTTAAGACCAGACTTAAAATCGGGAGGACATGACCTTCTCTGTGACCAGCCCCAAACTCTGGAACACTCCACAGTGGAGAGTTTTAAGTCTCATCTTAACACCCACTTTTACTCTCTGGCTTTTAACACCTCGTGAGTTGTGTGGTCCTCTGAATTTTTTACTTAATTTTATTATTTATATTATTTTATTCATTGCTTTATCATTTTTAACTTTATGCATTTTAACACTTTTTATTTATTGTTTTTATGCTTTACTGTCTTTTATTGTATCTGTTGTCTGTGCAGCACTTTGGAAACTCTCATGTTTATAAAATGTGCTATATACAGTAAATAAAGTGGATTGGATTAGTTTCGATACTAGTTTTAATATTGATTCGTATCTAACTTCCGATGCTTTTGACAATTAAACCAGGATTAGACCAGGACAAAACCAGCACAAAAACCTATAAAAGTCTATATCATGATTTTAATTAATGAGTGATCAGATACTTATACTTGAGTTACTTTTTAATACACTTGTACTTTTCAGGGTAGTTTGAGTAGCTGGGGCTCCTGTCTGCTCCTCTGGCTCTGCTCCTGTCTGTGCTCCTGTCTGTGCTCCTGTCCTGTCTGCTCCTGTCTGTCTGTGCTCCTGTCTGTGCTCTGTCTGCTCTGTCTGCTCTGCTCCTGTCTGTGCTCCTGTCTGTGCTCCTGTCTGCTCCTGTCTGCTCCTGTCTGCTCCTGCCTCCTGAGCCTGCAGAGTTCATTCACAGGTTATGTGTGCTTGTGCAGTCTGCAGACTACAGGGACAAAGTGACACCAGAAATATGAAGTGGCTAAATGACTTTCTCTCCACATCATCAGAGTCGGTGTTTCAGAGCAGACTGCAGGCTCTCATCACCTGTCACTGCTCCTGTCTCTGCTCCTGTCTCTACTCCTGTCCCTGCTCCTGTCTGTTATTGCCTTCTGGTAATGTGAACACTGATGAGATTCTTTAGTGGCTCAAGTTTTAAGCAGAGACTGAACTTAAACAAACTTTTCTCTTTAAGGGTACACTGTGTAACTCTTGCTTACTTTTTTATGTAATGTTCCACAGTATGGGATTTAATTTAACTATCTCCATGGAGACAAGCAGGCCACATCACCAGGCCAAGTTACTGGTCAGATCTGTGGAGACGTGGGCCCGTTCATGGCAATAATGCAAGTTTTTGTGGTAGTTTTGAGATATAAAAACACGTAATTGAATAAATACAAGCTAATGCCGTACTGTGGGACATCGCAGGCAAAGCAATAACATCTCCATGGAAACAGACTCCATACCAGAAAAGTTACACAATGCACCTTTAAAAACTTTTATAGGCTACTAATCACCAAAACAACGTATGGATATGTTAAATAATAAGTCTCAATAAGTCTCTTCTCCCTTTGCTCTCTACTCTAAGTCACTCCCCCTTCAGAGCATTATCACAACACATCCTACTAATGAAACTACTGCACATCACATCAGGTTTGTGAAGTTGCTGTGAACAATTTTGTGTCAATCTTACAGCAAACCATAAAGAGAGTCTGAATAGGGCCTGGGACAGATTGCTAAATTGCTCAAACATGCATGGATGACATCTAACACCTCTTCAGGCATGTTTTTAACGAGGGAACAACATTAAAACACCGTAGAAAGCTGCAAAAAGTTAATTGTGCATAAAACTCCCTTTTTAAATATATACCGCACATGTTTAAGAGTCTAAATCCTGACACTTCATGCTGATTGGAGGAAACTTCACAACGGCAGAACAAGCAGAAATCAAACTTGAGTTAAAACGAGTTGAGAGAAAAGCACAGACATCTTTCCCCACAAATGCACAAAGCGTTTAGATCATGTGAGACCAATACAACAAACAGACTACTGATGATTTCGATCCCACTGTTTGTGTCTCAAAGGTCATTCCAGATCCTTAAATATCTGTCTTTTCCTTTGTTTTTTCCTGTTTGAGTGTTTTGGTGATGATTTGTCCCAGGACCCTGTGGTTGGAGCCGCTCTAGACTCTTTAATAATGAACGAGACTCGCTCAGTTACGTAAGAAGTCTCTCCACAAACCGCAGTACACAGGGAAGAGAGTACATGAAGTTAGACAGGAGCTGAACCTCAAACACCGCTGTCCCACTGATGAACTAATAAAACAGACAGACCCTCCTCTTACGGAGAAATACAACAGATGAGCTTAAGATGTGCTTTTTTTTAGTGTTGATACTTTACAGTGACATCATGCTGGGGATGTTCTACATGTATCTCTATAGCAGAATGTTCAGCAGTTACCATTCTGACACAATGCACACATTAGCAAACACTGCCAAAAACGTTGTAAGATTGTTATTGTGGCTTTATGTGTGAGAGACTTTAACAGCATCATCTTCCCTGTTGTAGGTCCAGCTAAACCAGCTTTTTCTGGCCATAAAATAACTCAGCAATGTTTACAGTTAATGTCACACCCCCAGTGAATGTTGATGACATCAGCTGCAATAGTGATAAAAATGACTTAATAACAGAAAAAGGTGTGAAATGGGTCCGGTCAAGCAGAAGTAAACAGCAAGGCCAAAAATTCAAGTTAATGCATCTGATATAAAAATGTATTCAACAGATACATATGTACTCTAGTTTATCAAACTGTTGACCTTTTTTCTGTACCATTTTTGGTTCTAAAGTTCCATACGTTTTAAACAGACCATGTATGAAACATGGAACAAAAATTATTTCCCAAATTTCAAAGACCTGCAAATCATGTAAATAAATGGATGTATTTCATCATATCTTGTGTTATTCCATCTTTGAACTGTTGATGAAGATACATGATTTTTCAAAAAAAAATGTATTTAAAATAATAAAAATTTGCTTGGAAGGACTGACATATTTTATAGAAATAGTTTCCTTTCATTTTGAAGTAATATTAAAGTATTCGGAAGAAAAAAGCTGACAAATTATACAAAATCCTGCACCTTCTACTTGTTTGCACAATTTTCCCTCTGTTACTTTTCCCTCCGTTACCATGACCTTTCTTAATAAAAAATCTCATGATTCAAAATGTAAGAGGTTTTTCAACCTAATCTTGTACCATATGGTAGAAAATTATATGAAGCAAATATTCAAACCAGTTTGTTAAGGATATGGAAGTGAGAACCAAGAGTTATCACTGTTTGGATTTATTGCCCAAAAAGTGCTGCATATTTCATTCCCTCCGTTACCGACATGAGTTTTTATATTTTGTCAACAACTTGAAAGAATATCACAGGTTTAACTTGACCCTGTTGGAGTGTAACTCTTTCCTACATTCTGATACTTTACTTATTTCAATAGTCCCTCTAGTGTCTGAATAAGAGACATTTGAATGTCA